TGTATGTCATAGATCTGCATTTAATTTTTGGCACAAAAGTGTATATAATGCATAGAAAGCAAAGAAATGGGAAATTTAGAAAAATGTTTGAGGGTTAAAAAATCAGTGGCTCAAATGGTTCGAAATTGCCAAACGACGTCATTTTGACAGTTTGAGCCATTTCGAGCCAACTAAATTTCGGGCACCAACCATTACTGAAAAAATAATGCTATTTAACAGAAAAAATGATTGCATCTATTCCATTTACGGAAACTTTGATTGTTTCAGCCTTCAGTACCACTGTGGATGATGCCCTTAAGCAGTAGGGTTGTTACCCCTAAATTGATCTCAGCATGTCCATTCAAGCCCAATTGTATGACAAGATCAATCTGGGTTAAGTATTGAGTTCATATTTCCACCTCCGTCCAGCACATTCGTTTGGAAAGTCGGTTGACTTTTTAATTTTTTTGATTATTTTAGCCTGAGTTAAAAAAATTTGATTTTAGAATGACTTTTTAGTTTTTTTGACTTTTTTTGTGAGAGAAAAAGTGTAATGATTATGAGTTGATGTGCATTTTTATTGTTGTTGGTTAAAATAGCAAAAAAAAAACTCCCAAACCATCTTCCCAAACGGTTTTATGGTGTCCACCGCTCGTTCAAGCATCAGCTTGAAAAATCTAGCTTGATTGAGATTTGAGACGCCAACACATACCAACCTATGATAAGGCATTTGGAGCTTTGACCCTTGAGCTAGACCTTGTTATTTGATCATGAGATTTCGGATAGTTCAGATACACACGGAAAAGTTCTCCAAACATGTTCAAAGAACAAAAAAAAATAAAAAAGTTGATTTTAATCTGACTCTAGCCTTGAAACTTATCTTCTAAAGAACTGTATTAGATTTCCAAATAAGATTTGCTAACCAAACCAGGAAGAAGGAAGTTCATCTGATGGTATATATGTAAATCAGATGTCCAAAAACCTTAGGGATAGAGGAATATGTGCATACATGCATATTATAGATGCAGGGAAGCTTTCGGAATACTATATTACCAAATAACTAATGAACATGTCACATATGCATATTTGAATCTCAGAAAAACCCAAGATAAAAAGGTTTTTGGTGGCCAAATGTATGGAAGTTGTAACAATCAAATTGACTCTAGCACAAATTATTTTCTGCCAAGTGAAGAGCCTCAAGGGTTCTATTGCCAATCATGCCCTTTTACCGATACCTGTCACCGATTGTTCAAAACCATTGTACACGAGAGCCATTGCAACATGTCGTTCCACAAACAAAGGAATCTTTGAACTGACTTATGTTGCATGTTGTTGGGCCAAACAGTTCCATCCCTAATCTTGCCATGAATTTTCCTATACTCCCAGTCTCACAGTTCACAGCAACAGATTAGTTGCCTCCAATCTACGAGCATTCAGTTTCTAATGGTTCAGAGATGTTCCCAATATTTTTTGGCCACATTTCCCGAAATCAAATTCTTTTTCTACTACCTCAACAGCTGGAGTCAGCTACCTGTGCAGTTTTAAGGCATTATGCCTGGCCTCAAACCGGGTTAACCTGCCTCCTCCCACCCAAAAATAGATCTGAACTCAAAAAAATCTTTGTATGCAGCAGTGGATTGTCAACACAACCCAATTCACTATTGATATAACCACGCTTATTGGGAAATAGGCCTATTTTGGTAACTTTTTGCTCTTACGAAAAAAATATGTAAAAAAATAGAGAGTGATTGTGGACCCAAATAAAAATAAAAAAGACAATAAAGTACGCTAAATAAATCTGTCCCAAACAAACAATCACGTGGCCAACATTTCTTAATGTCATTTACTCCAACCAATGTCCATCTTGGCCCCCTCATCTCCTTTTCAAACACCCCTCATGTGCCACTTTGCTTAATTTTCTTAAAGGGTTGTTTACTTCGGCGCCCCCAAAAAAATTTTTTTTTTTTTTTTCCCCCCCCAAAAACTGTTAAGCTGGCACTGGAAAACTGGGCTCCAACTTCTGGAGGGAATCTCTCTCTAGCCCGTAGGGGTGTCTCTACACCTAATACCTAAAACTGTCTGGTTTGAGAGTCATTGGCCCAATACTTGCTACATAGGTTAATTAGAAAGTTTAAGGAACCCAAACATTGCACAGTTAAGAAAAAAAAATAAAGACTTGTTCGGGTTCGTAACCTTTTCAGCTCGAGTTATTAAGCCCGTAGGGGTGTTTTCACACCTAGTGCCCTAAAACTGTCTGGTTTGGGAGTCATTGGCCTAATGTTTGTTACATGGGTTGATTAGAAATCTTAATGGATCAGGACATTACACAGTCTTTCAAAAAAAAAAAATTGATGAGAATCTTGGTTGCAAAAGTTTAGTTTTTCTTTATATGTTGGGTGTTATTTTGAGTTACAATAGGCTATTATAGTGGACAGTTAACTAGTTATGGGGGAATGCACTTTACACCAAGGGCACTAATGATATGTTTACTAGCATTAACAAGTTCAAGGGACTTAACTTTTGTATTAACTGAATTGTGATTTTTACTCAATAGGTTCCTTCATACTTGTCTACTGTGCCTTCAATGACTCATCATGTCTTAATATCACATTGTAGTTGGCACATAAGTTAATTGATAATTAGAGTAGTATGATTACTTATTGTTCTTGGGCAAATATGAATATGTTGATATTTGTGGGTATCATTTCTGGAAACCCTCACGAGACTATACTCCTCCACTTGGATTAACCTTATGGTTTAAAGGTTTGTTGTATATGCTAAGTGCAATCGTGATCCCATGAAAATGGCTTAGAGTTATTTCACTTTTCTTATTTCTTTTGTTTTGCTCGAGGACTAGCAAAATGTTAATTGGGAGATGTGATGTAGGCCAAAAGGTACCACATTAAGGCCACTTAAGTTACATTTTTAGTCTTTCAATGTTGTTTATTTGGTGGAGATGATGTGTTTTGTGCACTTGTGCAAATCTGGCAAGCAATACGTAAATTCAAACAAAAAAGACACGAAAACCAATTCTTCATGCAAGGAGCAAAAAATCCCGACCTGCCACCTCACCGCACATGCGGCCTAGATCCACCGCACGTGCGGCCCAACACCGCTCGAGTGGAAATTAAAACCACTCGAGCGGGCCACCTAGGGTTGCATGCGCAGAAATTTCACTTTGTTCTGGTGGGAATAAAAGGAAGAAAAGAGACTGCTGTTAGGGTTAGGGAATTCTCAAGCTTCAAGGATAGTTTCATAGAGGCTTCTTCTTCTTCTTCTTCTACCCCAACTCTAAAAAACCCCAGCTCATATATATATATATATATATAATGGACCCGACGAAAAACACATATACATTTGCTTCCAGTATTCTCGACCAAATTTCCCGTTCCATGGATGACGGGAACGAGAATTTTTACGACAATAGAGTCGTCAAAACTACATCTATGTATCCCCCATCATCCGCTTCCGGTATTCTTGACGATATCTGCCGTCCCATGGACGGCGGGAACGAGAACCAGAGTCAGGGCCGTAGTGTCATGGACGAAGACATGGCGAGCCGAGCATGTCTCCTCAAGCACGAGACAACCAGTGTTTCAAAGAGGCCAAAGCCAGTGAAGACAACTACTGTTTCAAAGAAGGAGAAACAGCCAATCTGGCCTGGGGCTAAGCTCGCGAGCCTTTTCAAATCTCTGTTTACTAATGGAAATTCAAAGAAGACGAAGAAGAGAAAAGCAAAGTCCACTCAATCATGTACGTGTTCATGGGCATCTACGCGTTCAGCAGCCGTGAGAGAGAGTTTGAAAGGGCATGCAAAGAATGCTATGGTGCTCAGAAATGAAAATGCTAGTGGCAACGAAGACGACTATGACGATGCGGCTAGTAGTGATTCAAGTTCGGATTTGTTCGAGCTTGATCACTTGGCATTTACTGGGAATAACAATAGTAGATAATATTGTGTAATGATTAGTTTCATAGTTGATTAAATCATTTACTGGGCATTTACTTGGCTGGTGGCATGATTGTTAGTTTCATATTTATCATTCATTTATTTTTCTGTACAGTAATTTTGAGCAAGTATTTTTATGTTTGTTTATATATATATATATATAGAGAGAGAGAGAGAGAATGGGAGGTGAAAAAATTGAAAAAGAAATGTATTTTATTTGATCAAGTGGTGTTTAATTGTCTGTGACATAAGGCGCATCAAGGATTTAGTTGCCACTTAATATTTTGTTGAATAGAAGTTATTCTTTTGGCCACCTTACCTGGTCTTATTTCATCTACTTAATCTTGTTTCAGCTGCATACCCTTATACAACTTCAGCTATACATATGACTATATAATGTCAATAAAAACCATATTCAGAATACCTTCCGCAAATTTTCTTCTAGTAAATTGAAGTGGTTGTCCTCAAGCTCAAAACCACAGTTTTGCACTTAATAAAATGATATTCTATGATGTGACCAAACAATGGCTCCTATATTCTATATTTTTTAGTTTCCAAAGAGTAGGGACAACTGTTCAAAAGTAAACATTATGAACCACTTATATATTGGATGTCTCATTCATCAATTAGTTATTTAATAACTTAGATGACTTTTTAATTTTTGGATAAGCGAAGGAAGAATCCATTAAAGATGCCAAAGGGGGCCACAACCTCTGCACACTAGATGTGTGCAATGTCAAGATAAAAAGCTATCAACAAGACTAAGCTCTTCTATGAAATCTACCAAAAGAAAAGGAAGATTCACAAACCTTCCCTTTGAGCTAAAAATAAAAAGTCTGTAGTAAAGATCTCTTTAACATCTTAGATGACTTTTAAACTTAACAAGTTATGAAGACTATCCGTTTTACTTTGGAGTTCCAGTATTGAAATACACATACTTTTTGGTGTTTCTGAAAAGATAAGTTCTAGATGTCCAATGCTGTTCAACTGTAAAAAGACATCGGCACATTTCGGTTTTATCACCCAATACTTGGGCTTCTCATATGAGATGCTTTTTTCTTTTCCAGTTAAATCTCTCAATCACTGGAGGAAGCCTTTTTTTTGGATGCTGTTGTTAATAATTCTCAAGTTGTAGAAGTGATTCAGCCACCATCAGGTTTACAATGCTCGCAGTTAGTACTGGCTCCTAAAGGGTTGGGAACTGCACTTGTTACTGCTTCTGACATTGGACTTTCACCTCCACTTGCTGCTACTTCTGTGGTAATCTTTCCCGTTTTTTATGTTTTCTTTGCGTGATTTGTCCACCCGTTAGAATCTGTCAAAAATTTCCTTTTAGTTTTGCTTCTTACATGATTACAGATTTCCAATTCTAATTTCTATTGCTTGTGTTGAAGATAGAAAATCAGGAGGTTAAGATATAAGATTACAGAGTCCCGCATGCCTGGTGAAGTATGTGTGAAATGACTCATTGGTGTGAGCTGTGGACCATCATTGTACAACACATTTAAACCCATGCAAGCCTAGCCCAAAGCAAACAATATTGTACAATGTTGGGTCAAAGCCAAATATGACATTATAAAAAAGATTGTGTTGTGATACTTTGCTGTTGGTACCTTGATTTCCAGTTATTTATGGTTTGTATATCAAAATAAATGCAGTTTCTAATCAAAAGCAAGGATTTGTTTCTTAATTTTCAAAGTTCGAGGACAACTTTTTTAGCATTACAGTATATTATCAAAAGGTTAGATCCCTCATTTTTTAATTTTTTTTTGGGAAAAAAGTGCTTGAGTTTTACCAAATTGACTGGCTTATTATATGACAAACTATTTGAGTAATCTGATCTGATTTTTCTCTGCCAGTAAGAATCTTCCTAACTTCTGAGGATCACAGAGGTCAAATGTTTCTAGATTTTCTAATTAAAGCATATAATGTGTCTCCATTTTTATTTTTGCCTACAGGTTCAAGTTGCCGAGGTGGACTGGATTAAGATCACTTCACCGGAAGAGTTAAGCCTTATGGTATGGGTCACTGGGTGATTTGTTTTCTCTTTTACTGTTGTTATATGCTTACCACGATATTTGCAGGAAGGAAGTTTGCAGTCTATTGATTTTTTGGCTGGAATTGATGATGGAAGTACTTTTAGCTCTTCCCAGGTTCGAAGATCCATAAATTATCTTTCAGAATATATTTTTTTGATTTTGTTTTCTTTAATGCATGAATTTTATTACAAGAAGTGATATATTTACTCTGTTTTGTACCAGTTGAATCGATTCACTGGCTTTCATGTGACTAATGGAATCCCTGTGTTATGGAGCTTAACATTTCTTTCTTATTCTATTATTAAATACCTAACTGATATTCTTTTAAAACAAAAATAAATCTCCTCTAACACTGAGAAGCTCCATGATTAATAATCTTTGTCGCAGTACATTTACATGAGTATTCGTGTCCATATTGAGGATCATGTAGTGGAGCTTGTAGACAGTGATGATTTCCCAAGTCTTATTGATGGATATGTGAAGGCACAAAATTTCATAATTCGGGCTAGACATATTGGGGTTACCACTCTTTATGTGAGTTACTGATTTTTCCTTTTGTAAATAAATGTTAATTTTTAAAATTGCATTGTGCTGGCAAATATTAATCTGGATTTTGGAATTTAGGTCAGTGCACGACAACAATCTGGGCGAGAAATATTGAGTCAGCCCATTAAGGTTGAAGTCTACGCACCACCTACACTGCATCCTAGTGATATTTTTTTGGTACCAGGTGCTTCCTATGTGGTATGTTCCAAAATATTTCCTCCATGTTTTTCATCTTTTCCTTTTAAACTACACGTTTAAACAAAACTAGTAAGTGGTCAAAAAGAGTCCTAAAGTTGCATTCGAACTATGGCATTCTTTATAATGAATAGCCATTTATTTTCTTAATACAAATAATATTATTAATACATTATTTTTGACTTGATATTGTAATGTTTAATTTTTCCTTCATTCAGCTTACTGTGAGAGGAGGCCTAACCATTGGTGCCTATGTGGAGTATGCTAGTATGGAAGATGGGACTGCAACAATTCACAGATCTTCAGGACGACTGTCTGCAGTTTTGCCTGGAAATACTGTAAGATTTGATCTCAAGTTGAGACTTAAACTGAATCATTTAGGATCACATATGTAGAGCATTAAACATTAAACATTGGTTACAAGTATTTTTTTTCTGAAGCGTCCTTACGTGAAAGTCATAGTTATGGTTGTGTTCTCTGGTTCTTTTCCTTGAATCAATACACACCGTGACACCGACTTCCCCATTAAGGCTTCCTGAGAACTAGTTTGTTTGGTACTTCTAAATGTATTTTCAGGTTTCTTTGTTCTGTCGTTGTGGATTGTTATCCGTTCTCTCTACTTTCTATCAATGGCCACAATTTGATTCTGAAAAGGGACATTCTGTTCGTCAAAACCCTTCTCATTCAATCCCATCAATGGGGAGTTTGTTCAGGCTCCAAGTAGAGCTGCCAAATATTGGACCCAGACTGACCAACCTAACTGAACCAAATGGGCTAACTTGGCATTTTGTTAAGGGGGTTAGTTGTGAGTAAACCATATCAAAGTGATTACTAACAGGAGAAGCTAACTATTTTATCGGGCCTGCCAACTTGATACTGACTTCATTTTTTTTTACTTGATTTGGTTAGAAGTTATGACAATTTTGAAATGATTTTTAAATAGACCATCTATGAACACTTTCCCTGCAAATAAATTGGTCTGTTTCAGGTTGGCTATTTTAGGATCCTTTGATCCCAGTCCTTCCTAACCACTTGCCAGCTCGATCTATCAATAACTTGGAGGGAAAGAAATTGGCTTTTGAAATTTATTGCTTTGCATCTTTTAGTGAGTTACTGTAACATTGTAGCTTAATACTATATGTTTGTTATATTCAGACTGTAGTTGCGACAATGTATGGCAATGGAGATATCATGATTTGTCACGCACATGGCCAAGTCAGAGTTGGGATCCCTTCTTCTGTGAAATTGAATGCACAGAGTGACCAGCTAGCCGTTGGTCGTGAGATGCCAATATTTCCTTATTTTTCCGAGGCAAGAACTTACTAATACATATATATATAATCTTCTTTCAGTTTCACCCATCTCCTGTCTCCTTGTAAAATGTTCACTAACCATTGGTATTTGCAGGGAAATTTGTTTTCCTTTTATGAGCTCTGCAAGAATTACCAGTGGACTGTAGATGATGAAAAGGTAAGGTTATCTGCTATTTCTATTTTAACTGCTTGTGATTTCTCAATTTGTTATATACATGAAAATAGCTGGTTATTTCCTGTTTCCCTTGTTTAGGTATTGATTTTCAAAGTTGCAGAGCACTTACATGATGACAAGTATGGGATCCCAACTGCTAGACTGAAGGAAATTACATCCACCAGCTATTTGGATGAGAAAGACCTTGGTTTTATTGAAGTGTTATATGGAAGTTATGCTTAGTTGTACAAGCATATTGTCATTTACTGGGTCAATATGATTCCTGAGAAATAGATTGTGCAACATTTTTGCGGTTTGGAAGCTTTCATTAAAATTTGAACCAATGAAACAAGTTCTCTTGCACCATGGATCGATACACATTTCACTTTACAATTGAATATTGAATGCCTTTATGTAATTTTTAACCTATCTTCAACGGAAACTAACAGAGGCAGTAGTGAACAGATGCGATACAGTGACGGTAGATGGAAGTGCTAGGCGACGGGATAGTCCTAGATTGACATTGACTAGCGTAGTTAATAGACATATGAATCTACGTAATTTGACTAACGAAATGGCCTCTGGTAGAGCCGCGTAAAGAAGAAGGATTCATGTAGCCAATCCCATTTGATAGGATTTAAGGCTTGATTTGATTTGGTAAATAAACAAACTTTATAAGGAAAGTATCAAGATGATGCAAAAAATACAAAAATTGAGTCCCCTAAGGGGAAAATAAAGCTAAGATATCAAATTAACCTAGGAATTTTAGGGTTATTTGGCATTTATAATGCTTGTGGATGACTTCAAAGTTCAAGCAAACCCAAAACATGCCACCTCCCAAAATTCCCTAACCAAAAGCAAAAGAATGAAAAGAATTATTTGGCTTTTCCCATGAATGAGGAGGTCATGTATATATAATAAATTCATGATGCAATTTAGGAAGCGATAAAAACAAAGAAACAATACTAAATCAGTGATTGACACAATCACAGATTATATACATAATAAACCAAACCAAACCAAACCAAGCCTTAAGTCCCATCAAATGGGGTCGGTTAGATGAATCCTTCTTTTCCACGCAGCCTTATCAAAGGCCATTTCATTAGTCTAATTAAGTAAATCCATATCTCTATTTACAACGCTAGCCAATATTAATCTAGGCCTACCCCGTCCCCTAACACTTCTATCTACCGTTACGGCATCGCATCTCTTCACTACTGCCTCAGTTGGTCTCCGTTGAATATGATCAAACCATCTCAATCAATTTTCTCTCAATTTATCTTCTATCGGTGCTACCCTTACCCATTCTTGAATACACTCATTCCTAATTTTGTCTTGTCTTGTCTAGTCTTGCCACACATCCACCTTAACATCCTCATCTCAGCCACACTTATCTTATCTACATATTGTTTCTTGCTTGCCCAACACTCCGTCCCATACAACATCGCTGGTCTAATAGACGTTCTATAGAACCTATCTTTTAGTCTAGTGGGTATTTGTTTATCGCACAGTACCCCAGACACACTTCTCCACTTGTACCATCCCACCTTAATCCTATAGGCCACATCCGCATCAATCTCCCCCGCTGTTGTGATAATCGACCCTAAACAACGAAAATGTTCACTCTTAGGCAGTTCTTGGTTCTCAATTTTCACTTCTCCTCTCCTTTCATTGTTACTATTACTAAATTTACACTCCATGTACTCTGTCTTAGTTCTGCTTATCTGGAATGTAACGCCCTAAAAAAAAAACCAAAAACAAACATCCAAGAGCGTACCATGGATGTCTGTTTTTGGGTTTTTTTTTAGGGTGTTACAACTTGGTATCAGAGCGTACCGAGTTCGAATACTTTGGATACGTGGGAAGTGATTAGTATCACAATGGGTTCATCTCGCTTGTTAGAGACTTATGTGTGACATTATGTGTTTATTTGACAACATGTTTATGTGACTATTTGGATAAGTAAAGGATTATGGAACTGGATAGTACCGTATGTTGGTTTATATGAATTAAACATTTATCAAGTGCTAATATTTTAGTTATTGCTCATATTATGTTTAGCATATCTCTACTGGGCGTTGGCTCACCCTATTTGGGACATCATTTTCAGGTGCAGGTGACATGCCACCTCCAAGGACGTAGCTTTGGAGGCTTAGTGGCTGCGGGCCCCTTTTTGATTACTTTTTGTATTATATATATATCAAGCCAAGGGCTTATTTTGTGTAGAGTTAGTACTCTTCTTTTTGTAACCAAGTGTTGACTTAGAAAGTTGTAAGCCCATAGGGCATTTACTTTTGTTGTCAACATGTAATACATTCTGTAAGAATAAACCAAACCAAACCAAACCAAGCCTTAAGTTCCATCAAATGAGGTTGGCTACATGAATCCTTCTTCTCCACGCGGCCCTATCAAAGGCCATTTCATTAGTCAAATTAAGTAGATTTATATCTCTATTTATAACGCTAGTCAACGTTAATCTAGGCCTACCCCGTCCCCTAACACTTCCATCTACCATTACAGCATCGCATCTTTTCACTACTGCCTCTGTTGGTCTCCGTTGAATATGACCAAACCATCTCAAACGATTCTCTCTCAACTTATCTTCTATCGGTGCTACTCCTACCCATTCCCGAATACACTTATTCCTAATCCTGTCTTGTCTAGTCTTACCACACATCCACCTTAGCATCCTCATCTCAGCCACACTCATCTTATCTACATTTTGTTTCTTGGTTGTCTAACACTCCGTCCCATATAACATAGCTGGTCTAATAGTCGTTCTATAAAACTTACCTTTTAGTCTAATTGGTATTCGTTTATCGCATAATACCCCAGACGCACTTCTTCATTTACACCATCCCATCTTAATCCTACGGGCTACATCTGCATCAATCTCTCCCGCTGTTGTGATAATCGACCCTAAATAACGAAAATGTTCACTCTTAGGCAGTTCTTGGTTCTCAATCTTCACTTCTCCTCTGCTTTCATTGTTACTGTTACTAAATTTACACTCCATGTACTCTGTCTTAGTTCTGCTTATCCAGAATCCTTTAGATTCAAGAGCTTTTCTCCAAATCTCCAACTTTGTGTTAACTCCTTCTCTAGTATCATCCACTAACACAATATCGTCTGCAAAAAAGCATACACCATGGCACGTCATCCTGAATATTTATCGTCAACTCGTCCATAACTAAAGCAAAAAGATAAGGGCTTAAGGTAGATCCTTGGTGTAACCCTACAGTGATAGGAAATTCATTTGTCTCTCCAGCTGAAGATCTAATAGTGGTCACCACCCCTTCATACATGTCCCTAATCACGTCAATGTAGCCTTTTGTCACCCCTTTCTTCTCTAACACCCACCATATTATATCTCGGGGCACTCTATCATATGCTTTCTCAAGATCGATAAACACCATATAAATGTCTCTTTTATCACCCTCTCCCACACTTTCATTATATGACACATTAGCTTGATTCCTCTATAGTTGTTACAATTCTGGACATTACCTTTATTCTTATAGATTGGCACTAAAATACTCTTCTTCCACTCATCTGGCATGTTCCTAGTTAACAAAATTTTGCTAAACAACCTAGTCAACCAAGCAACTCCCTTTTTACCCAAACACTTCCAAGCTTCAATAGGGATATCATCGGGTCCTAAAGCCTTATTTGATTTCATCTTCTTAAGTGCAATCTCCACTTCAAAGTTCCTAATCCTACGATAGAACCTATAGTCTTGATTTATCGTATTATTGATTATTTCTTCCCCTATTGTCGTACTTCCATGTTCCTCATTTAACAGTTTCTCAAAATAATTCTTCCATCTTTCCTTAATCTCATCATCCTTCACCAATGCATTAGAATCCTCACTCTTGATGCACTTTACTTGATTAAAATCTCTTATTTTCCTCTCCCGTATCTTAGCAAGTTTGTATACCCTTTTCTCTCCCTCCTTACTATCTAGTCTAGTGTATAGGTCATCATAAGCTTTCAACTTAGTCTCTCTCACTACTTTTTTGACCTCCTTATTAGCCAATCTAGAGCTCTTAAGGCTTTCCTCAGTTCTATCATTCTGCCACTTTTTAAAGCACTCTTTTTTTGCCATAACTACCGCTTGAATCTCTTCCCTCCACCACCAAGTTTCCTTAGAGCTGGGTCCCGTTCCTTTCGACTTTCTAAGCACTTCCCTTGAGATTCTCCTCATACAATTGGCCATCGAATTCCACATAGTGTTAGCATCACCTTCTAAGTCCCAAGTACCTTTCCTATCCATTTGATTCTTAAATATTTCTAGTTTATCCCCTTTTAGGTCCCACCATCTCGTCCTACGACGCCCACCATCCTTCCTAGCTTGGTATTGCCCTCTAAAACATAAATCTAGTACCAAAATCCTATATTGAGAGACCAGACTCTCTCCAGGAATCACCTTACAATCATTGCATTTTAGGCAGTCCAATTTTCTCACTAAGAAGTAATCTATTTGGCTCTTAACTAATCCACTCTTAAAAGTTATCAAATGCTCCTCCCTCTTCTTATACATAGTATTGCCCACCACTAGGTTAGAAGCCAACGCAAAATCTAAGATTCTCTTTCTAGCTTCATTTCTGTCACCAAAACCGTATCCACCATGCACCCTTTCATAACCTAGTTTATCTATACCCACATGGTTATTAAAATCTCCACCTATAACCAGGTTCTCTCCTACAGGTATCTCCAGTAAAATCTCATCCATTTGCTTCTAAAAATCCCTCTTAGTCTGATCATCTAACCCTACTTGAGGGGCGTAAGCGCTAATAATGTGTCACGACCCCAAACCGCCCCTAGTAGTTTGGTGCCGTGATGGCCAGTAATCCGAGATTACCGAAGGCCAACTTTCAAAATTCACACACAATCAGAGTATAAATATATGGGGCTAACATGAGCGGAAGTAATAATTTAAAATACAAGTGGTCCATAAGAGCAGTGCATAAGTCAAATGGAATGACATACATCTTTACACAGCTTTACAACTTGAACACAATTTAAGTGAGGTCCAAAATACATATTACATTTTAAGAAAGAGCTTCACAAGCCGACATAAACAAAATGTACGAACTACAGGTCAAGGAACATAGTCTGCCAGATTGCCAACATCCTCGTTGCCGACATAACATACATACAAAACATACATCCTAATCAAAAGGCTTCTCAAGCCAACGTGTACAAAATACAAATATTACAAGTCGAGAAGCAT